GCAAGATTGTTTATTTTATCAATTATTAGATCTAGTAACAGGTCTGTTTCATGTTATTACTACTCATTACTTACTACTAATTTATTATTACTAAATTCTATTTTACATTTCCAATATTTAAAAGAACTTAATATTTTGTAAACTATTGTTAAAAATATTTAGCAACAAAAGAACTCATTCTAAATTAACATTGTACGGTATTGCTTGATGTTCGAACTATTTATTCTGTCAAAATATCTTAAATTGCGGAACGATTGTGTATACTTATAGATACATTATCATTAATAATTGCTCCTTGAAACTTCGGAAACACATTTAATATACTTAACAATATGTTTTAAAATGATAATTAGTATTGTGAACTGTGAATATTGCATAAAAATCGTCTTACATAGTTCGTGATATCGTACGTAATATTTGTGATATGAATATTTCTTGCCTTACAAGAATTGATTCTTTCAAATATCAAGATATAAATTTAAGTACTACAGAATTTGTTTTAGAGTTTGAAACCAGCTTATACAACTCAAATATCTTGTAAATACGGACATGAGACAATGAGAACCTAACCCAAACTTCTTATGGATAATAATTTTATAAAGTAAATATTTTATATTAAGATTTATTAGGATTCGTAAATATATACATATCAAAATTAATTATTTCCGTAATGCAGGTAAATTAATTAATTATCATTTTTAAAATTATAAAAAATGCAAATTTAAAACTTATTAAATTTTCTCTAATGATGTAGTGAATATCCCATAATTTCTTATTTTTATGAAGATCATTTCTGTTTTTAAAAATAGTAATAATGTTTCTAAAAATACTATAAATAAACGTGACTTTATATCTACTAAAATTAAACGTAAGTTAAAAAATATATAAAATTTTTTTGCTAAATCATACGATAAAAATGTACTTCAGGTAAGATACATATATATATATAAAATTTATTTAAGGTTACGAAAATAATTTGTATATTTTCGAAATATCTACACTATATATACTGATATACACTATATAAACTGATTATATTCTGTATAGAATAATCTTTTTTGACCTATGTAATTTTTATTAAAATAAAATTTATATCTAATTTACACTATTTTAAAAATATTGATATTAATAATTATCACACCACGTTACTTTTATATAAAACTAAGCAAAGTAAAGATTAATTATTAGTTAAAAATATTTTAATATAATAAATAACTTAATAATTTTCAAATATATAAAGTACGAAGTTGTTCAATAAACTAAATTATCATGTAATAGTAAATTTCTATATTATCAATTCTTACATATTATCGTATGTTAAATATTTATAAAATAGTACTATGAATAACTAAACATATAATTCAAAATATGATTTTTAATAATGTTGATATCAATAAAAGAGATTAATAAATAGGATTACAAGAAAATTCCTATATTACCGACATAAATTTATATTTATGATTATGCATTGATGTAGCAAACATGAATAATATGCAATATGAAGTATTATTTATTCAGTTGGGTATTCTAATTTTATTATAAAGTTGTAATAAATGATGTTGAAAATTTAATATTATCGACTGAGTTATGTGTGCTTTGTTTTTTATTTAATGACTATTAAGTGATTAATTATGTTTTACATCTTTTATTTATTTTCACATAACTATTTACAGTTCTAAGTTATTGAATTTTAAATAATTGGTTAAAGATTTTTGTTAAATATCTTATACAAGTTGCCCATCATGATAGTATCTAGTAAAAATGGTTTTACAAAAATAATTTATGCAAGCAATTGGTATTATGCATAATTAATATTTTCGAAATTTTATAAAACCATAATATTTATTTATTGATCTAATCTTAATTAATTATTTAAAAGTAATTAAATTTGAATATAAATTCTGTTTTAGCAAATTGTGAACCAAGGATATGGATTGTAAATTAAGGATATGTATTTCAAGAATATGAGTATTCTATATGCAATGTTATATGTACAAGTGTATAAAATGAAAATCAAAACAGTATTTTTTTCCACTATAACTAAAGAAAAATGATGATTTAATTTTTGTAAATTATTTTACAGATTTTAGAATTTTAGAAGTTTGATGTGTTATGTATATATATACACACATATATATACAGATATTTGGTACACTCGATTTATTGACGTTTACATTTTGAATATCGAATACATTTTATGTTTCAAAAAATATTGAAATAAAAATACGATAGGACGTAGGAATATAAATACAAATCAGAATTCATCAATAAAAAATTAAACAGATATCACAATACCATCTGTGCAAATATCGAGAAATAAAACAGATATCAACTAAAGGTAACACAAATGTAAGGTTACCACAAGTATCAAACATAAAAACAGAAAATATATATTTTTCATACAAACATATATACAAAATATACAAAATTTAATTTCATAGTTAACATAGTGATGTTAATTTTATTTCATTATACAAACCAAATTTGATAAATAAAAATTAAAGGAGAAGAACTAATGTAACAATTATGTAAGTACATAAATAATAAAAAAATGATAAAGAATAAATGAATTTAGAAATGGTAAATAGTAAATAGCAAAAATGAATCAATCTAGATAACTAACCGGGCATAAGCAAGTGTCATTAATTATTTTGTATATTTGTAATCTGGTATTAAGTCAATTATTAAAATTATGGAAATAGTATTGAAATGATATTTTAATTTGATTTATTTTTAATTTTGCCGTTTGATATTTTATATAATTATTTCATACAACAATTTATTATTAATTTTATATAAAATATTTATACTAACATACAAACAAAACAAATGTTTATACTAAAATATATGAAATACAAAATTCTAAAAAATAAATTGTAGGAATGCGTTAAATTGAAGTTTTATAAATAAAAATAACAAGAAACAAAGATTTATTTATAGTCGCAAACAAAAATCGTCACTTCAAATTTTCCGTATCTGTTTTTACTTACTTCAATATTAAGATATTGATTTAACTTATAAAATAAACTTATGCCTCTGCTATTTCAAAAGCAGTTTCAACATTCATAATATTTCTTCGAAACGAAACAATTTAGATGAGCAGACTGTATGTTTCATGCTGTATGAGGAAAGTGCCCTAGGCAAGGACACGCATTATTGGGTAGAATTACATTAAACAAACATTCGATATATCATCCTATTCCTTTTTAGCACTGTTTTTTTAAGTCAAATGACATGTTGATATATGCAATTAGTCATTTTAATATCAATGTTTTATCTTTTGTTTCTTTTCGATGATTTTTAAATAAATAAATAAATATATTTCGAAGCCAAAAAGCACAATAGGAATGAATCTAACATCAAAAATGTTATTATGTACATAAACTTATTAAAAAGATAACTTTTCGTAGATTTCTGATCGTTCATATATATGAACCATCACTATATATATATAACCTAACTATGTCAGAAATTTTATAAAGGAAAGAAAAATCAACACGGCATTGTGTGAATTAAACTATTAAGTTTGTATTAAACTATATAAGTAGTATTAACACTTGAACAGATCACCTGAGGTTTTCTAAAACTCTGCAAACCTCAAAAACTTTTTAATAAGTTCACCTGTATACGTATATATACGATTGTATGATGTCATAAATTCTTTCCTGTCCTGTTGCTTGGTCACCATAATTCCCGGATTTATCAACACTATTTTTTTCTATGTCATCTGCAGTCAATAGTTTATGTTGTTCCAATACAAAATATGGAACATTTAAATATTATTATTAAATTATTATTAAAACTATTGACCGCAGATGACCATACAGAAAAAAAACCAAATGATGACAAATCCGGGTGGTGACCAAGCAATAGAACTATAAGTGCCAATTCGATGTTCTCCAAACTATATGGCCCGTGACCCATCTGTAAAGTGCTAAGCTATCACAAGTTTACATTTTTTCTTTGCTGTGAATTGTCAACAATTCGTAGATAGGTTCTTAGATAAGTTTCTGTTAATGCAACAATTACTCGAGATTCCTAATGATGTGAATGTAATTTCAAATCTTAATAATAAACAAATTATTATCAGCCATTCGTGTTGATTATCATTTTTTATTACAATTTTCATTTCTTTGTCTTCAAGGTCATGCGAAGGTCATGGTATACTAAGTTGCTGAATTTGTCTACATATAGGCTACAATAATATTAGGTCAAAAATATAGAGTGCCATTTGAAAAAACAAATGTGAATTTGAAAACTTCTAACAAAAAAATATTTTTTTAGCTATAAAAACCATTATCGATGAGATAAATTTAACTTTTGTTATTAAAAACCAATATTGACGATAAAATTTTGTTGCATAAGTTCTAAACGTAGAAAATTCGGCAGTAATAGTTTTTGGCACTTTGTACATACAAATAACAACTGAATTATAAAACTCTTATTTATTAATTATTAATTCTTTTTTGTTTTAAAGTGCTTCGGTTCTGTTTCTCTGATAAGAATACATACTAGTGTCTCATAGTCACACTACATATTCAAAAATAAAATTTTTTGTATTTTTTACAAAGCAATTAAATACGCTAACGTTTCTTTTCCTTATGTAAAAAATGAATGTTTTTGTATAATACTCCAGAAAATTTATACAAATTATCATAATTGGCGTACGTTAATAGTACGTTTCTAATTACATATCAATAAATATTTTTCAAACAACTTATATTGTATTGTATATTGTTTTATCCTTTATGTAATTTTCTATCCAATTCTAAAGTATTTGGTATTTCCATGATACTATGAGGCTTTCAATTCTACTTTGGAATCAAGTGTTTCTACCAATATATTTTTTGAGGGAGATCTATTAAATCATTGTTTCTTTAAAATTTTTAAGTCTGCTTTTACTATTTGACTACTATTTAAATCGTTTTTAATTTCATTTATATTTTTCTGAAAATAGTTAGCATTTTTTAATTACCATTTTTTTTTCATATTTCATTTTGTCAATTTGTTTTGTTTTCATCACTAGATAAATCTACCCAATTATTTTTATCTTCTAGTAAATGAGAATTATCATATTATCTAAAAAAAAGTATAAACAGTTGATGATCATGATAATTAATATATGTAAATTAATGCATAAAAGCAAAAAAAGGAACAAAAAAAAATTCAAAAATATAAAAATCTTTAATATAATATAAAAATATTTTTCAATTTAAATTTTCTCCATTGTCCTCATTAAATAAATCTCCATTTTCTAATACCAACTCTTAGAAGATTTTTACCTTTTTTTACCTACATTAAGTAATTGTTTCATATGAAGAGTTTGTAATTGATTTTTTATTTGTGCTTCGTTAACTTCATTATCATTTCCTCCTTTGAATTCTACTTTATCCAAATCATTCTCATGTATAGAAACATTACAGTAATGTTTGCTAAGTGTAACTTCTTGTTTTAAACATCTAGGTACATATTGTTTTGTATTTTTTTTTGGAATAGCTACTTCATATTCTTCTGAATCATAATCTATAAATGTTTCATCGTCATCTTCTCCATACTTGATACTGCTGCTCATTACAGATGTATTTTTTTTTTCAACAATGGGTAAATTTAACTTCTTAACTCTTTTTTTTGATCGCTTATTAATTTCTTTTTTAAATGAATTTTCGCCGTCCGGAAATAAAACTCGTAACTTATTCCATGTTGCAATTTCGTTTTTTGACTGCTGCTTATATTTTTTATCTGTTTTAGTAGATAGAGAAATTTTTCCATCAGAATCTTGTATATTCTGAAATATCTCATCTGTCTCAACTATGTCAAGTAACACTTTACCGTTATTTGTTTGAGAATTAAATGTTCCTGAACACAATTCGAATAATTCGCTTACATTAGGTTCCTTCGAAAAATTAAAGGGATGATTATCTTTCAGAAATTTATTAGAAGATATTTCCATGAATTCTTTATCCACTACATCACTGTAATTAACAAACAACTTTTTTGATGGCTGTGTTTTAAAATCTCTCATTTGTTGAGATAACTTTGGAGTTTGTATATCTTCCATCAAAATAGAATCATCTTTATTAATAACCAACTGTTTTTCTTCTATTATTGATTCTTCTTTTTTTTTAATGTGTGTGTTTAATATAGTCAATTGAGTTATGGGTGAAATAAGATCAAAAGTGTGACTTTTAGTTTGTGGTGTTTTGTCCAATTGATGGTTTAAGTCATATTTTGTATGCACTTGAGAAGTAGGAATACTGATTTCATTGTCACTTAATTTATTTTCTATAATACTTTTATCAAATATATCATCTTCTTCTGAACTTTCCTGTACATCATTTTTATCTTCATTTTCATCTTCATCATCTTCAATCTCATCACTATCATTTATTTCATCTTTACTGATTTTAGTTTTAGTTTTTATAAAAATATTCTTTTTCTTTTTCCTTTTTGGTTTTTTTGAATATGTATTATCCTCTTCTAATACATTCTCTTTGCTTTTATAAGATTCTATACTTGAAGAATATGGTTCACTCAAATTATTATCTTCAATTATGGATTCATTCCACTCTATTTCTTGTTCTTCCATTTCCTGTTCTCTTTCTTTCCATTCTTCACTGCATTTCAAAACCATCTTATGTTTCAATTCCTCTTTCAAGCGCAGTAAAAACAATTTTGTTCTACATTTCTTAAATTTAGAATTTTTGTTCACTATATGTGGTAATCTATATGGAAATGTTTCTTTAACGATTGATAATCCCTTTGGAAATTCCTTTGCTTCTTTTATTGTAGCATTAGATGTATCATCAGTACAACCATTGATTTTAGAATGTTTACCTATAAATTAATTTAACATATCATTTATTCCCTTCTTATTACGTTTAATACCATTATAATATAATTAATTACTATACCTGAAATGCCTTTTAATTTAGATTTAAAACTTTTTATGTTCAATAAAACTTTTTCCTTATCAATATCGGGAGATTCATCGAATTTTGGCGGTGGTAAACCATATTCATTATATTCATCAAATTCATCCATAGTTATTCCCAAAGATTTTTTTACAATTTTTGCATAATCATTATTAATTTTTGAAGTAAAGTTAATTTCTGAAGTACATGTATCATTGTATACGTTTTTTCCCTTATTTTCATTTTCACTAATATCTTTTTGTAATAAATCATCTATCTTTCCATTTGTTTCTGTTGATTTTAATATAGACTCTAAATTCTTACCCTCTATATTATTAGATTCAATATGTATTTTTATCACTGAATTAGTTGCATTGCTTTTTATTTTCTTGTCATTTACTATTGTCTCATTATATTCGATTTCTTTTGCTTCAGTTAAACTTTCATTCATTCCTTTCATCATGCTTGAACTATTCTTTACCTCATTATCTTCTGTGATAGACAATTGATTACCAACGAATAATTTTCTTGAAACATTATCCTTCTTAAGCTTACATTCTATGTTTATACACCTTTGTTCTTCTTTGTTATTTTCTCTAGTCTTTTCTCGTAAATTAAAAGACTTATAAAATATTTCTGTCTCTTTCTGGTTTGATTTTAAGACTTCACTGATTGATAAATAAATTGCAATATTTTATTAAAATATAAAAATATTCAACATTAATATGGTAAAACGAATAAAGGACTTACTTAACACTAGCAGAAGACATTTTTAATTTAGGTGTTATTATCTTCTTCCTGTTTAAAAATTTTTGCTTAAAAGTCCACTGCTTTGGTTTATGATATGGAATCTTTGTCTCTCGTGCTAAACATTGAGTTTCAGTTTGTATCTGCTTCGTAACTTCTTCAGGAGCTCTTAATAATAAAATCTTTAATACAATATTATGTTTATTAAACACAAATACTTTATGTTTATATGAAGATATTATTGTACTATACTAAAATTTTTTAAATAATTTCATCAGTTAAACTATTTAATAACTTACTTTATTCCCTTACTTTAGATTTAGAATTTTTTTCTTCATGTTCTTTTGTTGATCTGCCATATTTTATACAATTTGATGATTCCTCATCTGGTTCTAAATTTATTGAAATTTTAGTTTTCTTTACCATCTATAAAATATAGAATTGTATAATTAATTAATAATTAAATTCTGCATATCTTACAGTTACTACTTACAGTATTTACAACTTTTTTTTCATTTAAAATTGTTTCTTCAATATCACTGTCATTAATAATATTAGAACTATCGCTAAAATCACTGTCAAAAAATTTTACAATATTTTTATTATTTAAATATTTCAATTTCTTATCATGCTCAACATTGGACCATTCATTTTGAGAGTTATTATAAACAGATATCTTTTTATTGGATTTAAAAGTAAATACATTTTCTTCTTCTGAATCACCATCTATCATTTGGGATAATCTGTTATAGATATTGTTTTTAAGTATATCATATCTTTTAGCAGTCTTCCTATCCTCTTTTTCCATAGCTTTATCAAATACATTCCCAGCATCACTCTCAAAGTAATTTTTCATTTTAATTAATTTATTTTTATCTTCTTCTGTACAATCTTTTGATTTATTGATAGCCTTTAATTTTTTAAAATCATATGGCATATTAATTTCATTATGATCTATGTAACTATCACTTTGAACTCCTAATTCCTTATTATAATTTTATAACTTTGTTTAGTGTTTCCTTTATTAGTTTTCAATGACTACAGTTTTATATCTACTATGTCGATATTTTGTATAAAATTATCAAATTACAAATATGATGATACTTTCTTAAAAATTAGTTTTTTGAAATATAATTAATTACTCATATTTCATTACAAATTAATACATTTCAAATGTAAATATAATACATAACAATTATGTAACATTACGTCACAAAATATAATTACTTACTAATTCTGTTTACTTCGATCAACAAATTTGGCGCGAACGCAGAACGTTTTACTTTAAATTACCTAATATAGATAGCAGCAACATCGTTCTTTTCTATTCGTTCAATATTGTCTTTTATTTCAACATTATAATGTACTTTTATTCAGTAGTATTAAATATTATTTTCGTTGTTTTGTTATAACGATTGTTTTAATAAATAAAAACAAATGAATTAATTAGATTTCCAAATCTTATTTCTATTTTCTGTTTTATTTTTATTTATTATATTATTTTTATATGTAAAATTAATATTAAAAAGTTATTACTCTTTACTATTGATACAAATTAAAAATATATATGTATATATAAATAACTTATATGACGTAGTATATTATAAATTATTGTTAAATATTGTAATATATATTACTACAAAATTTTGTTTCAATTTTTTAATCAAATATTATTATATTGGTATTTTAATTCATATAAAGTTATAAATTTATCACAAAGATTTTTTTATTTATGTAACGTATTAATCTTAGTACAAAGTAATGACCAAGGAAGTTACTAAATTTTTAAAATTTATTTAAATGAAATTAGTCATATATAGTGAATTTCAATGAATTATCTATTAATTTAATTATTTAAATAAAATGTAAGAAAGTCACAAGATTTATTAAATACAAAAATTCATTATTTAACATCTAGGGAATTATTTCATTTTTTATGAAGTTACTAGATAGTTTTGAAAATGTATTTAAATACCTTTCAAGCTTCTGTAAGTTCTCGGTTGTCAGTTGTTGGTCGATAGATCAAATTGTTGAAGTTTTTTATGACAATTTGTGACTGCGTCACGATCAAAATCAAAGAAAGTATTATTTTTGTAGGTTGTATAAATATATACAATATATCTTTTTAATAGAAAAATGTAATCATTATATACGACATTCTTTAAATTTTTGTATTTATTTCCAGGTATGGTTACAATGGGCGAACCTCTTACTTTAGCGAATGGTAAATTTCTTTATATATAATTGTTTAAATAAATATATATATATTTAATTTTATAGGAAACAAAATTAAATTAATATATAGGATAATTATTCCAAA